TCCCCCTCTTCCCTCCCCCCTCCCCGCCAAGATCAAGGAGGGGAGGGGAGCTGGTGGCAGGGGCTGAGCCCCCCTTGGACCCTTAGTGGATCCCACAGTGCCTCTGGGTCTCCCTGTTCTCCAGGAAGGAGAGTGTGTGCTTTGGGGAGCACCCGGGAGGATGTTCCACTCCAGGTTCCTTGATGGGAGCGGAGGGCAGGCCTTTCTTTCCTTCTAGTTGTAGAATTTACAGTCAGCCAGGCTTCCTGTGGTTCTGGATGATGTCCGTATTGTTTTTCTGAGGTATTAATCAATTGTTGTGAGCGGCATCAACTTCCCGGTGTTTATCTCTGCCGCCATCTTAGTTTCTCCCAGACCGCTGACAGACCTTCTTACTAAAAAATATGCACAGATTAAAAAACTGCAAAACAGTGTTTGGTAGACTATTTTACCAGCAAGTCCTGAAATCAAACTTAGCCAAAGCACTGAGGTATTTTGTTTTCTTTTTTAATTTATCAAAAACACAGAGATTTTCATAGGCTCTATTAGAGTGACAAGTAATCTATAAGGGACTTTTGAATCTCTTTCCCATTTTAGAGAATATCAGAATCCTTTACTTAAAAAAATTTTTTTTTACCAGGTCACCAGGGAATAAAGGTAAATCTGAGCCACATTTCTAATAGTGAAGCCGTTTAGCCATTTGGCTAAAAAATTAGAGTTTAATGTCACTCTAGATATCCTTCATTCCTATGTCATGACTTTTCACTCTTGGAAACGTTCTTTGCTTCCTCCAGACGAGCGCCCACGGCCACTTTCCACGACAGCAAACACAACATTGTGCATGTGCATTTTGATGCAACCCGGGGATGGCTACTGACTTCGGGAACTGACAAGGTTATTAAGGTAGGATGCTCTCTCATGGCAGGAGCTCTCCATGTCTGGCCCTACGTGAATATACAGGAGCACCACGGCTATGCAAAACCTGCTCAGAGGGCTCCCTTGGCAGTGAGCATTTATACATACAAGGCCCATGCCAGGCACAGGGTGCACACACCAAGGTCAGACATGCTCTTGCCTGTAAGGAACAGCTGGTCAGTTGGAGACATACTTTTAAAGACACTTAATAATAGGTCATACATGCAGTGTCCAGAAGAGTAATACAGACAAGAATTACTTTAAGAGTTTGTTCCATAGAGGGAGGTGGTACTGCTGGAAGCGGCTCTGTGAAGGAAGAGGGATTTGAGATGAGCATTAGATGAATGGTAGAACTGGATAAGCCAGTAAGTAGTAAACAAGACCCTTCCCCATGAGATCGGTTAATCCACAAGCGTTCCTCCAGGTTCTCTCTGAGGACCACAGCAGAGGCTCTGGACAGAAGGGGCCACACCTGCCTCGTTTTCTGAGAAACACACAGGCATGTAGCACAGGCTTGCCCAGCGCACCGAGCTCTGCTTCCCAGGCCCATCGTGGTCCATTCTTAGAGGCAGCAGCAGGGTAAGGTGGTTGAAATAACCCCTTTTGGAAGCTGCCAGGCCTCTGAAACTTTAACCAAGTTTAAAATAAACTCTGGAGTCTCAGAGCCTTTATATTTTAAAATGAGACCCCTTGAACTGTTTGGAAGATTAAATGAGGTAGGATATTGAAAGGACACAGTACATGCCTGGCACCCATTTGCTGCCTAATATAGCTTAGTTCCCTTCCTCCTTAAATGACTCTAATCTGCTTTTAGTCTCCATTAGCTGGATGAAAACTTCGAGCTGCCATGGTCATGTTTTTGAGGTTTATGTTATAGTACTTTTTGATGGAAAATACTATTTTAAAGATTTCAGAATCATGTTAGTATAATTATTGCTTCTTAAATTAAATTTACTTAAATTTAATTATAAGGATCGGTTATCATCAACACAATTTAATTCTAGTTCATTGTATATCTTCTTTTTCTTTTTACAGTTGTGGGATATGACCCCAGTAGTATCTTGATGACACACCCAGGCATCTGAAAGATAGTATTTACTCAAGAATGATTGTTCTAATCCAAATCGTTACTGGAGCAGTAAAGCAGTCGTGTGAAAGGAGAGAAACTGAAGAAACTAGCTGAGTTTGCATATTACCTGCACACAAGTGGTGAGCCAGTGAATGAACACTTGGAGGGGACTCTTTCAACTTGTTCATACAATATAAAAGAAGATATTTTTTTAACAAATGGTTTGTACAATCTGGCTTGCTGCATTGTTTGAGTATACTGTAAACTCTGTGTGGGGTGTTTAATTTTTAAATTTTCAACACTTCATTTTAGTTGTTGTTTTGTGTGTTGGAGAAATGAGGGAAATGTCTGTTCAGGGTATTTTTGGTCATTTTAAAGCAGTTTCCATGTTTTCTTCATGTGGGCACAGGTCACCGGGTCAGCAACTTTTTCTTCTCTATGTATCTACTCTCACCTTCATCTGCTTTCCACCAGAGTGTATGTGTTTACACTGCTTATAAACAGTTTCTGCTTTCCTAGAAATCCTCTTCAATTGAGAGATTTGGAAAACCGTTCATGTGGATTTACCAACTGACTTCTTGAATCACTTGAAGAACGATGTGTAATGTGTAACTTATTCATGTTCTTATATTGAGTAGAAATAACCTGGTGTTTCTGCCTCCGTTTTTCTCTTTCTTTCCCATATTAAAAAATGCCATGAGAAAGCTGTTCCCAGCCATTGTCATCATGGGAGTAGATGATTATAACTCAGAGCTTCAAGTATCAGTGCCTGGATCGTTTCTAATTCAATTGGAGCCTTCTGAGCCTTCCATGTTTTATGTTTTAGTTTTATTGACACAGCTCTCCCTCACTTGTATTAATAACAAACAAAATCCTATGTCCTTAAAAAAAAAAGTGTCTTTAAGCTCTGTTTTTGTGTGTGATGTCACCTCTGACCTTGACCATGTTCATTATGTGAGGTTGAATCCTGTTCTATTCCTCACCATCTGTATTTTCTCCCCCTTTAAAAACTAGAACACTTTGCACACTTATACCAAAACTGTGTGATCTGAGACATAAAAAGGTACTGAATCTTACAGCTCATGATGTCTTCCTGTTGGAAATGTAAAAAAGGGCGTTAGAAAATCAGTCTGAAGAACTCTGATTTTAAGGGAATCCAGTCAAATTTGATAGAAGTGAAATATTCTGTGTTTTAGTGACTCATGACATTTAAGCCCTTTTTTAAAACCTTATTTTCACCTATAAAAATAGAATTTAAATGAGTGGGCAAGCATGCGTTATGTGCCTGCCCCATTCTAAGCATGTTACATGGTATCACCTCATCAACCCTCACCTGTTGGGGGGTTTTGTTGGATCACTAAGTCTCTTGGGGATTACTACCAGGTTAAATAAAACTTTGCAGGTAAACATACGAATTACTTGCTCATTCTCTCCAAGTCCTACCTCCACAGTCTCTTGTTCACTTCTGATTTGACAAGTTTTTAGTGGTAGTATTTTAAATCCTCCCGATTTTTTTTCTCTTTTACTGGAAAGCCAATTTTTCCCTCCTGGTCATTAATTACTTTTCTTTCTAACCAAAAGAACTACTACCAACCATACTTGGGTACCACCCCTAATACTGACCTAGCATGCTTCCTGGGGAAGGAGTTTCCTAGAGATGATGGCTGCAGCGTTGGTGCTCCCCCGTCAGCCATAGGACACGACACGACAGTCATCACCTGAGACATCAGACCAGCCCGCGTGACCATACTCTAAGCTCAGATGCACGCGTGTGTGTGCACAGAAGTGATTACCAGTTGGCCCTTCACTGGCTCCTTCCACATTACCCTTGCTTGCCATCAAGCTGTTAAAGTCAATCAGAATCTGTACGGCATGATTGCTCTGTGAGAGCTTTAAAAAGGGAATTAAATTAAAAATATTCAGGTATCTATTTTGCAATTTATTACTAGAACCTGCAGCCATTACTAAATTGTACATAATAGAGAACTATGTTGGAAATGAATAATAGGGATGGATCACTCTGTTTTCCAGCTTTTGGAACATGCAGAGAGGAAGACACAGTGTTAGAAAGGCAGTAGATCAGGCACCCTGCGTGCCTGGCATGGATCTGAGTCAGGTCTGGATGAGCTCACACCCCATTTGGGAAGGTGATTGTCCCTGTGGGATCACATGTGTGCCACGGTGGCTCTATGACCCTGCACTTCACTGTAGCCATCTCCCTCCCAGCATGGCTGTCCCCCAGCCCACAGAGCCACTTGGAGACTGAAACCACTTGACACTTCATTGGTGAGCAGAGTTGCGATCACAAACCACAGCTATGTCAGGGTATCCATTGCTCTGCCCTTTGCTTTCTCCTCAAGTGAATGGGTGCTTGCATTTGTATGTTTGTAAAACTGTGAATTATGTTGAATCTCCACTGTTTTTGTAACTCAGAGATTTGTGCTGGTGTTCGGTGTCTTCCAAGCATTTTATGGAAATGGAGGCTTCATTCACAAGGGCGGAAGCTGGCACCCGCACTTGCCTTTCCTCCTGTCTAGGTGAATTGTCATAGTTCTTGCTTTACCCTATTGGATTTGCACTTTACATAAATTTTGCTGTATTACTTCAACACACAGCAGCTCTGGCAAGTACTGCCTCGCATGGCTATGTTGGGAAAGTGGCAGAACTGCACATAGTTCTTTCTTTGGGAGGATAAAGCCAATCACGTGCTCTCGGTTTCTCCAAAGAAATGATGTTACTGGAACCTTTAACTGCCTGCGTATGTCTCCACAGTAGCAAAGGTGGTTTTATATTAAGCCCTTGAAGTTTGTGTGTCTTTTCTATGAGGTCAGTCAACCATGATATATTTGTTTGAATCATTCAAAGAATCCTGAAATCATGAAACTGGAAGGGGTCTTCAGATATCTAGAATGTTCCATGCACAAAACACTAGTTCCACCAGGCAGTTAGACTAGCTGAGGTGTAAACAAGAGAATCTAAAAGGAGGGTTTTCAAGGAACAATTGTTTTTGAACATTACCCAGTAATGGCACGAACGAGGCGGGTGATGTCAGTGCCTTGAGACGGCGCCTCAGGAGCCAGGTTTGTTCCTTATCAGAGGAAATTTGACACTTCTTCAGCCCCAGCCCTGTGGTTCTGAGTGGGCGGCTACCGTGTAGTAAGGCAATTATTGCAAGTCTTCATCCGTATAAAGTCTTTCCTGCACTTTTCCCCATAGACCACGCAGTGGCAATACTTAAGTGGAAATCCAGGGGCAGTGTAAGTGCACCTCTACCCATTTGTCTGAAAGCTCATAACAGGTTGGCCTTGAGTGAGTTGCTGGGCCTATAGCATTTGCCCTTCCTATGGAACATTACCTATGCATGTTTTGAGATTAATTTTTTTAAAGCATAATTTATTTTTGCTTAACAATGTATTTTTAAAGCCTGAATTTTGACTTTTAAGCAAAGAGATAGCTCTGAACTATGTATCAAAGTTACTGAATATAAATATTCATTAAATGACACTCTTGGTTTTGCCTTTTCATATAATTTATTGTCTGTAAAGACCTTGTTCACTAAGATTTACATTTTAAAGTGAAGGGAAGCATTTTGCTAAGTTAAATTTTTCGTGATGTGAAAGCATGGATACCTAGCAATTTGATTGCAAAACACAGAAATTAAGTTCCTTTTTAACACTCAGTTATCTGGATAATCCTTGAGATTCCAGTCCATTTCGGCCAACCATTTGCTGAGTGCTCACTCTATGCCAGGCTTTGAACTAGGCCTGGGATGCCAACGTCCATTTCCAGGCCAGGGCAGAGGCCACACAGCTGTGAAGATGGGTCATTTCAGTACAGTGTGGGTGGGGCCAGAGGGACTTTGCTGAGGAAAGGTCTTTGCTGATCTGAGAGCGAGCTAAAGGGTGAATTGAGTAAGGAAATGACTTTCCAGGCTGCAGAAACAGCATAAACAAAGGCCCGTGATATGGCATCAGCCTGCTGCATCGGGCTACAGGTGGTTTGCAGTTGCCAGAGAATATCAAGCTCTGGGCTGCAGTCCTGGAGCCTGAGCTTCCTCACATTGAGAGGCAGATGCTCATGACCGCAGAGAGGGAGGCAGCTCATAGTTGGCCTTGAGGCGTTTGTTTACTTAGAGGCCCATCAGTTTTAGAGTCAAGGTTTTCCTGCAGTCCAGGCTAGTATCAGAGTTTCTTTTTCTTTGGAAATGCCTAGAATTGTTATCTTAAAATGACCCATGGTAACTAATTTCTGAACTTTCTGGGTACACAGCCCCTCACTGGAGGCATTGAGGTGGATAGAGCTGGAGACCACACATACATGGACATGGCCTGGAGGAATCTACATACTAATTGCACGATTACTGGTACATAAGTGGGCTGAGCTAGCTTCTCCCCTTTGAAAAAGAAACAGCCTTGACCTGAGCAGGAGGAGCGTGTTCTAGACAGCGGGCATCGCACTGACACGCAGAGCCGAGCCTTTGGGGACAGGAGCAGGGTCGTTGCAGTGCAGTGTGTAACTGATAAACCCGCATCGCGTGGCACTCTCCAAGCGGAAGGGAACTTCTTTCTCAGTTCAGTGACAGTGAAAGGGGCTCTGCCCAGGCAGGGGCACGCCCAGCCTCTCACGTGGGGCTTGGCACTTTCTAATGCCTGCTGTGCCATGCATTTGCCTTTGTCCTTCAGTACCCAAGTATCCCATGTCCATAACTTAGTTCCAGAACACCCATGTTCATATTTAACGTTAACTTAACTTTACAACCACGTGTTATATACTACTGATTGAGGGGGTTTGACTTTGTCTTTAAACATTGTCCTTCCCATTGAGAAGCATATTCAGGCCTGACACACCAAAGGAATATCTAAACATTAGGTCTGTCCAAAATTGGAATGGGATCCCTCCTTTGAGTTTCCCATGCCAGGGAATGGGAACTATGGCCCCTTGTCAGTGATGTGGGAAGGAGAGTACACCTAGGATACGGGATGAATTCGATGATTGCTTTTAGGAACCCTTCCAGTCCCGAGATCCTGTGATTCCATGAATGTTATTTATTATTGAACTGACCTAGACTGTTATCAGTGGCCGACCCACACGCGGCTGACTTAACTCAGCTAAATGGGAGCCTATCGCCAACATCTCTGTCCTCTGTTCTGCCTTAAAATGTTCACGTTTGTGAGTCAAAAGTGTATCTGACTTTCTTGGAAGAGAAAGTATCAGGGACAACAGGTTGGTTTAAAAGTTTAAGTTTAGAATCTGACCTTGATATTCATGCTTCTTTCCTCCTCCCCTCTCCCCCCTTGGTTCTCTGGGAAGCACGAGAGGGAGAACTAGAACACAGAAAGGGAGATGGTTTGAAAAAAATATTTCACTTACATACACTTTTTTCCCCATTTAAATGGCTGACAACCTGATGTCAGTAGCATACACCAATATGAAGTATGGACCATAATGCTGTGTCATTAGTAACCACTGTACTCTCATATATATTTGTGTTTTATGCCATTTGCCTTGCTTTTAAATAACTTTTTTTCAATGTACTGTTTTGTGAAAGAAAATCTATGAAAAGTAAGACTGTTATTAACTGGACAACAGGGAGGTGCTAGCCGCACCTCTGCCCATCGGCCACGGTAGCCACAGCCAGGGGCGTGGGCATGTCTGTCTGCACGCCCAGCGGTCTGTGGCCGCACCAGAGCCTGGCTGCAGCGGGCATGTTACTTTAGGATATTTTTTTTTTCTTTTTGAAGTGAGATTCTCCAGGGGATCCAGTTGAAAATGTAAAAAGCCTGAAGATAGAACAGATTTCTCAGATGTGGTTTCTGTCACTGATCCCACCAACCAAACCAAGCAGCCTTGACATTGACTTCCTGAATGTGACCAAGTGGGACTGAGCAGGAATTTCCTACGGTGTTAAAATGTCTGTATGCAGTTCTACTTCAAATGCTGCTGAACGTTGGGAATGTTTCTAAACTCTGCTCCCTTTCCCACTGTGCTTCCCTCCAACTGAACTGGACGTGTAGCCATTACCAGTGTACGTTACCAGCGCAAAGTTGCCTCCATGGTTTAAAATAAATATCTGTGGAAATCATCCTGCAACTGTGGCCCCATCGTTGTTGCTGTCCAGCTATAACACGTGGCCATACACACCCCAGCAACCTGCTTTGGGTTCACCATGGGGGTGGGGGTAGGTCTCCAGCCCACTCCTGCACCCGGAGACAGAGGTGAGCCACCATTCACCCCAGACACTAACTAAGCACAGCCAATGGGCTGCAGCATGTAGTCCTTTTTCTGTTCTCTGTTATCTGAAGTTAAACTTTTCAAGTGAGGACAAAGCTGACTCCAGGGCAAATACAGCCAGGGAAAGCCTCTCTGAAAAGTCATCAGGCCCACTTTATGGACAAGAAAATAGGTGGGAAGAAATCAGTGGTCTGCACAATGTCCAACAGCC